ATTTGTATTTTGTATGTATGGCGAGTATGAAAAAATTCTTGTTCTGTTGCCAGTGGAGCGCATTATAATTTTTTGTTGAGTAGTGATTTTGTTTTTTTATAGAATATTTCGTCGTCTCTTATAGTAACTGCCAACCTTTCAGTTGTGTTGTAAATGTCCCACTTCTTTCGGAGTGGCGAAGACTCTTATGCTCTTGGGCACGGCTTCCATTGGCCCAATTTCCCCGGTGATTTCAGGGCTAGGTACCTCACCGTGGTGCCAGGGTAAATTGCTCTGTATTGTCGGGGAAGCCAGAAGCCAGCAATGTTTCCCTCACGGGGTCGTGGAAGTAGGCGCAGGGCTGAAGGCATCAACCAGCGCCCGGACCAGCTGCGTCTTGCTGGGGCACGGCACAGCACCATGAGGTCTGGGGGCACGCGATACCGCAATGCATGTCAAAAAATTGACTCGAAAAAACGCAATAGAAAATATCGCCTGCCTATTCTCCTCACGGCGCGTTTGACTTCTGGTGGATTGTGGCGTCGTCGTGCCCAAGCAGGCACGCCCATGATGCGACTATCCTCCAGACGCCTGACCCTTGCTTATTGGAGATTTCCCCATGTGTGTTGTGCAAAGGGTATCCTCCCCAGAAGCTTCCCTTTCCCATATCCTGTTTGTGCTCGGGTTCTGTTCAACTGATCTCCAGCTCTGCTTCGGCAGACCCTCCGTCGCGTTAATGGGGTTGAGGAATCGACGAACTCTACGTAAGCTCAAAAGCAAAGTTGTCGCGTGACGCCCCCCGGTAGCAAGAAGTGACGAATGCCGCTCCGAACTATTGGCGTCCGTCTTCCCTTTCATTCAACGGCCAGAGCGCAGCCCAAAATATCGCCAATTCGCCGCAAGTGTTGAACTCCACTGAGGGCAAATGCTGCTGGACTTCCGCTTCTTTTGGCAGGCGTCTCATTCCCCGCCTCTTGCAGCCAAATGGTGGAAACGCCGTCATTTTCTCATGAAATGCGTTTTCTTCTCTGCAAAATCCCAGCAAACCACACACACACACAGAAAAAAAAAAAAAAAGTTCAACGCGAAATATTGGTGTTCTTCATTTATTAAATACGGTTGAGTTGGGCGGCAGCAAACACACCTACACACACACAATAATCCTCCGGGCCGCTGGCCGGATACTGAAATTATCTACAGAAACCAAAGAAGATAGAGAAGCATGGAGGTAACGCAGAAGAAGTTAATTGCCTCGGTGTTTTCTTCTGATACATATATGTATATATATATCTCTGACCGCTTAAATGACCTTTTTTACTCAGTTAGGATCTGAAGCATCATTATTTAAGAATTGGCGGACTTTTGGGGTCCCGCGGCCACAACACACCGCCGCGTGGTGGGAATCAAAAAAAAAAAGGGAGCGGGTGGGACGGTAAAAATAAAAATATAAAATTATTTAGCCGCAATCAATTCCCTGCTCTCCCCCATAAAGTCCGTGTTCTTCCAACCATTCATACGATAGAAATACATTAATTAAGTTGGCCAGGTCTCCCGCGATCATTCTCTTCACAAGCACCCAAAAGGAAAAAAAAAAAAAAAAAACTGTGTACAAGCAAACCTCCATTTATCGGTAACACCAGGGAATAACATATAAAAAAAACCTAACACGTTCAATCCTCAACGAAAGGAAGCGGAGCGATGGCAGTTTTCACCGCAACAGCCTCTCCAGGTCTTTTCCCATAAATAAAAAGAAGTACAAACTGAGAAAAGCATGCCACTGCTCCAAGAAAATTTGGAACCATAATAAATTTATCATTCACCAAAATGCCGTACCAAAACCAAAACACCGTGTTGGCTAACCCAAACGCCATGGTTATTGGGGCCAGCCCCTCCGCGTTCTTATTCTTAATAATGGTTCCAGCAAGGGCAAGGGGCGAGCCAAGCATAAGAACAGAGGTACAGCCTCCAAGAACGCCATTGAAGACCCTGGCACTTTGAGGAGAAATAAACGCAAGAAAGACAATTATGGTAGATAAGCAGAGTATAATAATTAAAGTAAATACAATGGTCATCAAGGACTTTCTGTATGTTGTACTAACAAGTCGATTTCCTGACTTTTCCTCCATCCGAGCAACCGAAAGGAAGACAAGCAAGCAGTATGTTGCGACGGCGTTCCCAATAACATTACATATGATGATGGCAAAAGAAAGTTGCAAAACACCGTAAATAGACCACACAACCGTATTTGCAAGTTGGGCGCAAAAAAAGGTTGGCGTCATGATCCCTACAGAACACTGCTGTTCCATCTTCCTCACAGTGAATACCGGGGAACTGACTGTACCGACGGTGGCTATAGTGGCTAGCATTGAAACAACGTTTGCCGTTGTCGACATAATTCACCTATCCAAAGAAACTCACGCTCTCACACAAAAATTTTAATTTTGAACTTCCCTGTTCTTTTTTTTTTTTTTTTCTTCCTTCTCTCCCGGGTATATATATATACCCGGGAGAAGCAATAATTATATTCCCCACACCACCACCGCCAAGAACTGGATAGAAAAGAAAAAAAAAAAGGGGGGCAAAATGTGGGTCCTCCAAATAAAAACTTCTGAAAGTATATTTCTCAAAACGCCGCAAAAGCGTTCGTTTCGCTTCGTGTTTCTCTGTTCACTAATTTCTCCTTCTGTTTGAATCATTTATTTATTTTTTTATTTTTTCATTCAGGCGATGAAGCCTGCGTAAAAAAAAAAAAAAAAAAAAAAAAGACCCACACACCCATCATCGAAAAAGCACCCCGTATACCGACTGCATGGGAGATGCCACAAACTGTGCAAAGAAGAACGGCGGTGTCATAAATGCCAATAGACTTTTGCCCCTCCGCCTTCCGTTGCTGTTGATGCAGAAAAAATGCACGTCAATGTGAAAGCGGTGATCGCCAGTATTAAAGTGAATTAATTCAGGACTGTGATTGGAACTGTCTATCCCTGAAGAACATACGACAGTTCACACACCCAAAACCCACCATATTTGTATATATTTATATTCATTAATTCCTTGCCATTTACTTTGAAATGTGATTTTAAAAAAAGGTGTGCAAAGAAAAAGTGGGGAAATAATAATAATAATAATAATCAGCAACACAGTAAGAGGGGGATGCGTGACTCTTGCCCATGACGTATTGGAGAGGGTGTGGGATTCTGTCACGGTGACGAGTCCGTCTCCCCCTTTTCAATCGTCTTCCCTTTCATTTATTTATTTATTTTACCAGGAGAAACACACACGCAGTTACCCCTTTTCCCCGAACAGCTTTTGCATGTATCACCAAAGCCAACAGGCCGTGGACGTCTCAAACCAACGGAAGGAAACCCGTTCGTTCACGTTCTCCCGAAGTTCGATTACACCAGGTGCACCCCATCCATGTCTTGAGATCCGCGTGTGATGCAACAAACCCGCGCAACAAAGGTTTCCGCTTCAGTCCCTCTCTATCTCCTTCTCTCGCTCTCTCCTATTAATCGTATATCTCAAAACAAGAACAATAATTACCCATTCGACTGACGACGAGACGACACTCTCTCCAGGGCACGGTGGTGGGCTTGAAAAGAAAGGAAGAGGTCATCGGCTTCACCGTGGTGGCACCGAGAGTGATATGAGGACTATACGCATCGATGCAATTCTCTGAGAGGTAATTTTTCATCCACTCCACTGTGGCCGCGTTATCAGCAGGAAACGACGGATGAAAAGCGGCTTTCCCTACATCAAGTGTGGCGGGAAGCACATGATATGGGAGCACCGCACAACTAATCTTTTCATGTAATGCACAGAGAGTCTCGGAGCGCAAAATCCTGATGCTGGGGAGACGAATCTCTTCTCCATCTTTGCTTGTGGCAAAAAAAGGTCCATCATCTAATGCGACTAAACTAATTGTCGCATCTTGTCTTTCTGTCAATTCCTTCATGGAAAGCCAAATCTCCCGCACCACGTTTCGTAATGCATCTAGATCAGAGGGTCGGATGCTAAGCTGGGCAACGGTGCAGTGGGGGTGTCCGTAGCCGCGACGGAGCGCCTTCTCTTCAAGACCAATTAGACGGTACGACCTCTCCTTCTCCCACTGCATGCTTCCGTAGCCCTCCATGGGGCACAGAGACCACGAAAGAGGAATCGCGGCTGCATCAAAGTACGACGATACAATGCAGATGTTGATGGCAAGCAGTGGAGGCATAATGTGTAAAATATTCCCCTCCTTTCTACCTTCCCACCTATGCAAAAAAGAAACGGCAAGTCACAAACAAACAAAAACAACAACAACAAAAGAGAAGTCCAACAACGCACACGGACTGATGACAATAGAATAACAACAGACACCCCCCACTCCCCCCATAAATAAATAAATAAATACTCCAAGCCTTACTTTTTTCTTCAAATCCAAAAAGATGAGAAGAAAAAAGGAAACACGATGTGGTTTCGTCGTCTCGTCTTCATGGCTCCATACGTATTCATGCAATACACAACAGTGAGCCCAAGACGACCCTCCATTCTCCATCATCACCAAGTAAATGACAAAAAGGAGTTGATAAAGGCTCCTTTTACCCGCCCCCGCCCGTGGCGGAGAGAGATTGTGTGCGGGTGGGTGTAACTGTGGACTTCGCAAAAAGTCCTAAACTTGATAAAAGAAGCATGAATAGTGCTATTATGCATGTCTACCAGGCACATGCCGAACCACACCATTCCCCTGCCACAAGCCCTCAAAAAAAAAAAAAAAAAAAAAAAGAGAAAAAAAAAAGGTAGTTTATGCATCCGCTATGGTGAGTGGCAATAACAGGGGGAGTTGGAGGCAGAAGGGCATAATAAATTCCGCTGCGCGAACCCATGTACACACACACACAAAAAAAAAAAAGGGCTGAAAGAAAGACGTGGCGCAAATAACCTTTTTCATTAAACCTCCCCTCACGCGCGCGAAACACAAAAGCATCAAAAAAGGCACAAATACACACATACACACACACACAAAAAAAAAAAAAAAAAAAGAAAAGAAAAAAAGAAAAAAATGAAAAAGAAGGAGCAAATAATACCAAAAACTGGATCTCCTAAACAATAAAAGTAGAGTGAGTCACAGAGTCACACACACACACACACACAGAACATAAAAAAGGAAAAAAAGGAGGGGGTGCCCGTCGCCCCAGTAATCACGATGAAAAAGGAGAAAATCTAAAAACCAAACCAGAGACAAAAACAGAGGCATGGAAAAAAAAAAAAGTGAGATGCGGAGAAGGGGAGAAACTTCTTCTAAACGTGTTTTGGAAAACAACTAAAGGCAGCACTGTCACTACATCTCGGAGTTTCCCTTTTCAGCGCCGGTCCCCCTTTACGACTGAGGATGTGTAGTGGATAACGAGGATGTCCCCATTCGCTTCAACGCCTCCTCAAGTTCGGCCTTTTCTTTCTGGGCACTCTCCAACACTGCTTTACAACGTTGCAGCTTCGCCTCCATTTGCTGTAACCGCTTTTCTGTCACCTGACTCTCCTGTGGCACCGATGAAGACATCGCGTCAATGGCGGCCAAGAGCTTCTCCGTTTCATCATCTTCAATATCGAGAAAAAGATGGTCCATGTCTTTCGCAATGAAGTCATCCGGGGGGTACAAAGGCGGGAGCGGAGTTGACACGCCCCTGTAGAGGCTATCCGGTAGCCATTGACTCCACTTCTCTGCAAATTTGTGAATAATTCGCTCCGTCGCATGGTACTCCACTTCTAAAGGAACGAGTACCCGACGGATAGCACGTCGTAAAATGATTCGGCGATGCACCACTTCCCTAGCGGCCTCCATTCCCTCCGGAAGTAGGCATAACTTCTTGTGTGGCTCCACTACATGACCCAAAACGGCCGACGCATAATGCTGGCACCGTTTCAAGCGCTTCGTTATTTTGGCTACTTCTTCTACAATCGAACGCACGACTTGAACCTTGCGGTCAACCTCATACATCAACGCGGTAACTGAAGATTCCTCGCGTCCGTCTTTGATTGATGGAAAAAACATTTTCCATGCGGATGTTTTTTCAACATCATTACTGGCCTGCGCCTCTGCCTTAATGGCTTCCATAACTGCAGGGGCCATGGCTTGCGCACTATCCAGAATCTTCGCCGCCTCTCTTAGTTTTGATTCTCCCATCTGAACAGCGGCATCGAGATGGCTTCTCTCTGCAAGACTTGTTAGCGGCACTTCTGGATCGTAGAACAACTTTACTTCCTTCATACTTTCTAACACTCGAGGTACGTTTTCCTTCGCATCGTTTAATTGTGAGTAGGTAATCTCAAGAAGATGAATAGACGTTTTCAACTCCTTTTCCATGAGATCTTGATGGAGTTTTAAGGGAACATTGAGCGCCAAAACCGCCTGCCGCAGGTTTTTCCAACGTTCTTCTTCTTCCGTATGAACAATTTGGTTATCCGCTGCGGTTAGACGCCACTGATGAAGCAGGTGCTCTGCCAGAGAATCGGCCACAATGGTCGGCACAAAAAGCAGCAACTTTTGCCCCTCCACCACCGGCTCATTGGTTAGCAGGGGTCTCAGCGTGTCGTAGTCAAACAACTCAACAAAAATCTTCACATTTCCCTCCGTGTCGGCATTGCGCAGCGGTGTGAGCCTGCAGCTGTGGACACACGACACGATATCAGAGACGAAGATCTTTGATGAATGCGCAACACCCCACTGCGATGACGATGCTAACGACGAGCTGGTGAAAACGGGGGAGGTTCTTGAATGCTTCACCTCCACCGGAAATTGGCACCCCGTTGGCGCAAAGACGAGCTGCACAGTGATTGACATATCCATCCTAACACGAAAAAAGAAAAGTAGGGTAGGACTCACCACCACCACCAACAACAACAAGAAAAATAAATAAATAAAAACACGCACCCAGAAGGCAAGGAGACAAAAAAAAACAAAAGAAAAGAGAAAAAGCAAAGAATGTCATGCGTGTTTGTATGTAGATCCAAAAGTAGTCAAAAAGAAACTCCAAAAGCATCGGCCACAGACGGCTGCAAGGACACACATATAGACATATAAATGCACACACCCACAAAAAAAAGAAAATAATAACAATAATAAACTTGGTGTGGCACTGAAATAACACTTCGCAGATTGTAAATAATTCACCCCTCAATACGCCAGAATAATTCCCTGCTTGGCTTTCCCACCCGTGAAATTAACGGTGTGGGACACGGACGGAAAAAAAAGAAGCGCATATATATATATATATATATTTAGTTAGTTAAAATATATTCCTTCTTACTGGTCTCAGTAAGAGAAAAAACCAAAAACCAAAAAAAAAAAAAAAAAACAGGCTGCCTCCCCACCTTCTCCCCTTTCTTTCCCTCCGTCCCGCGGTTATACGTGTGTCTGTCAGCCTGCAGAATTGAATATTACCTCGTACCGCTGAAGAGAGGGGAGAGACAAAACAACAAACCACAATTACTTTCCGATTTTTATTTTCTTTTCGCTTTCCTTCCATAACTTCCCTCAGCAACAAAATAACAAATTTCATACAACACCAAGGCCCTTGCGATACCACCAACACACACACACACACACCTCCACCTGCATAAAAACCAGCTCTGCAGCCTCAGAGAACAACACACGCATGTTGGACACGTTGGCCCACACCAAGGTATCGACGAGAATCCTCGACGGACGTGCCGTACACATCAAATTTTACGAGGCAAGGCAGACAATTCTGGAGCTTTTCCACCTCCCTAATTTGACTACAGTTTGTGAGTATGAGGGTTTCAAGCTGCATACAGCGACAGAGTCCCACTATACCGCTATCCGATACTGTAGTTCGTCCCAAGTGAAGTTCCCTCAGCAGACGCAGTTCTCCCAAACAATTCACCTCCGTCAGGTAACGACAGCCGCTAAGGTTCAATTTCTTTAAGTTATAACAGCGTGCAAGGCCCACAATTCCCCCAGAGGTGACACTTGTCCTTGAGAGATCCAGTTCCACCAGCCGGTGCAAATATTTTAGACTGTTCACATCTGTGATTTCAACACATTCCACCATCTGCAGTTTCTCCAAAGTCGCACAACGTGCTACAAATGCAACAGATTTATTCGTTATTTTCATATTCCGCACCAAAAGCTCCGTAAGTGAAGGGAGTTGTGCAACAGCACTAAGTTCCGTGATGGATGTGCAATTTTGTAAATTGAGACGTCGCAGAGAATGGCACCGCAGCAGAACACTGTGTATGCCACTGTCTGTAATGGCGCTCTTTTTCAGAGAAAGATCCAGCAGTCGTGGGGCCTCCAGCATGCCCATGGACCCCAGCCGTTTGCAATCGGCAATTGACACTCTCTCCACGGATCCGCTTCCTCCTAAGCCAGTCACATCCAACACATTCATACGATCTGCAATAACATGCCTCAACGCAGTTAGAGGGCGAAGAAACTCAAAGTGGGTAATGAGACAACACTCACTAAGATCAATCCGTTCCAATGAAATGCATTGTGATACGTCAGATACCCCCTCATCAGTGACATAGGTCCCGGAAAGATCCAATGACTTGAGTGCCTTCAGTTCCCGCAAGCAGCGAACATCTGTTAAAAAAAGACAGTGTCGAAGTGAAAGAACCTCCAGCTTTGTGCAGTGCATCAGCGGAATAATGTTGGCGTCCACCACTTCCGTGCCTTCCAAATTCAGGTTGAGCAGGTTCCTCAGTGGCTCCACAAACTGTATATCCGTCAAAAAACGACAATCCTGCAATGAGAGAAAAGTAAGCGCAGTGCATTTTCTAATAGACTGGGTTCCGGCATCTTTTATGCTTGTATCGGTAAGATCCAGGTGTCCAAGAGACAACAAACCTTCAACGAAGGACGCATCCTTCACACCGCTACATGAAGCAACATGAAGTTCTTCCAGCCGTTGGCACATCGTCAGTAATTGGAGGTCAGCGCTTCGCACGTGCGTTTTTGACAAGTCCAAAAATCGAAGAGATGTCAAGGCGCAAATCCACCGCACATCCGACACACAGCGACACGAAGCAAGCTTGAGTTTTTGAATCTGGCCACAGTTTGCCAGTGCCGCACAGCCCTCATCTGTGACCCAATTCTCTGTGAGGTCTAACTCTAGAAGCTTGTCCAGGCACAAAACAGGCTCCACACTCGATAGGCGATTGAAGGAAACAAGTCGGAGTTGTTCTAAATTTCTCAAATTACTTAAACTTCGAATTCCATCGTCTGAAACCCTGTTCCGTGAAACGCTGAGTGTTCGCAAGCCAATTAACGATCCCAAACAATTAATACCCTGAAGTTTCATGCAATTATCCAACTGTATGTGTCGTAAGGAATTGCAACTACTAATGAAAGCGAGGCCTTCTTCTGTTATGCCCATATTCAGCAAAGATAGTTCGGTTAACCGCTGAAGCGAGGACAAACATTCCAGTGACCTCAATCCTCGGCATGAATTCACCACCACACGCTCTAGACTTACACACTCCGACAAATACAGCATCATCACTTCACTCAGTGGAGTATTGCACAGGGTGAGGT